CCTCTTACAGATTTATTCCTCAATAATCGATTAATTGAAAAGTAGCTAGTGTCCCGCGGCGATTTTCATAATACTCATTCATAATGACGACGTTTTAGCGAGGGGGCAGAAATCTGTTTTCTGCCAAAAAGTCGTTCTTTTACTTCTATATATATATATAAGAAAAGAATCAAGAGGGGGAAGAAAAAAAGACAAAGCACTTTGCAAACAGTTATCTAATCTGGGACAACATTTGTCACGTGCAGAGAGAGATGAAGGGGGCAAGAACAAGAAAAAAAAAAAAGAAAAAAAAAGGCGACCAGAAACTGGGAAACTAATAACAACACTAAATAAACACAACCTAGCCAATGAAATGGGAAAATCTGGTATTGATCTGGGTAAATGTTCTGTTTTATTAGAACCCCCTGTTTTTGTCATTTTCATTTCGTAAAATGACCATTTTCTGTTGCTTGTACTCATATCTTGTACGATGCTTACTAAAGTATCTCTTGTTGATTTCTGTTGAGACATCTCAAATAACGAATACTGAATAAATGAAAGAAAATTTCGAATAGATGGTAAAGTTCTCTGTCAACAAAGAATATTGTGTGTTGTAAGAGAATCCACATCGCTAAAGGGACATTTTGATAACAAGAAATGCAATTTCTTCCACAGTTTATGCCTTATATCATCTCCCATATAAGTCGTTTTTATTTAAAAGTGTTCCAAAGGATTAGCAAATATTTGGTCATACGTTATATATTTATGCTATTTTATCTCATTTCTCATGTAATTGCTCTTGAAATTTTAAGCAGGGATGACCGGTCGAGTTTGTTATCCACACATTCCTTCTACGAAAAAATATATTTGAACTCTCATCTGTACTGAGAGCTATTAGCAAATTGAAAGATTGTAAAGTTTATTATCTAGTGACAATTCTAAATGTTTACACAGTTTGTTTGCCTAACTCTCTTTGAAATATGCTTTTATAACATTATTTATGTTTATTTAATTTTAAAACCAGAGTTTTACTCTTTTTTAAAGTTCAAAAAATACCTTTAATCATTCATAAACATCCTGTTTTTTTTCATCAAATTTACAAAATAATAATAATAATAATAATTTTTTAATATTAAAAAGAAAATCATTACACTCATTTTTAAATTCTTTACACTCTAAATAACATGTAAAATTATTGTTATTATTTAAAGTTTTATCTACATTTTAACACGATATTTAATGTTCTAAAATGTGTTTATCTGGAGAATATACAGTGTGGTGGGGTAATTACTACATATATACACATATATTATCAATCTGCTGCCATCTGTTGAAGATACAGTAAAACTTTTTTGTAATTTTAAGCTAAAAATATAAATTAATATATTAATTACGCGTAAAAAATCATTTAATAACAATAAAAATTGCAAATTTAATTATAAATAATTGCATAAGATGAGCTTTTAAACTTCGATTTTAATACAGGAAATCGTACACGTGACGAATATCGTAGATATTTATAAATATTTGTAGAATTTTCGGCATTATTAAGAAAAAATCTTAATCATATTAGCATTTTAAAATGGTTCTTGCGACAAATATTCCATATTATTTAGCCTAATATTAATTCTCGAATTTTATTCTTTTAAATTCGAGATTAAAATCGTTTNATATTAAACTTTGAATAAAGAAAAAAATATTTTTTGTCAACATTTTTTATTATTTTTATTATTTTTTTAAAATTATGTCATAAATATTTTAAAGTCATAAATATATTTTTTTCCTATAATTTTATTTTTTCATTTAAATAATAAATTTAAAAATATCAATGAAAAGATCTGTCAGCAGAGGGCGATACCTGTTGAGTCACGTTGTTTTTTTTTTTTCCTTCCCCGGAAATGTAGGCGTGTTTGTTATTGTTGTTTTATTTTATGTTTTATTCTATATTTTATTCAGTTGTTATTTTTGTCTTTTTAATAACTTAAAAGCTTTATACTTTTACTGTTTATAAATTTAAAATTTGTTGAATTTACTTGTAACTGCTTTAAAAATGATAAAATGAACGAAGGATCTGAAGTTAGAGAGAATAGGAGTGAAAGCAATATCAGATATCGAATTTTCAAGCATGTAACCAATGACCCAGGTGATGTTGGATCGCCTCTACCAGAAGATGATGATGAAACACACCATTTCTTTGCTAAAGTAAGATTTATGTATTATGCTATGCAACATTTATTGCTAATTTCATGCTTTTTTTAAATTTTAAATGACTTTATAACATTTTATCTTTTATAATTAAATTATTTACAGCATGTTAACTCTTCCAATAAACATTTAATGTCTGAATTAAATTCTTTCATTTAGAATTTGAATATTATAAAGATTTAATTTGCTTTTACATCTAGCAAATGTATTATATGTAAATAGTTATTATTTATAAATATTTGTAGAATTTTCGGCATTATTAAGAAAAAATCTTAATCATATTAGCATTTTAAAATGGTTCTTGCGACAAATATTCCATATTATTTAGCCTAATATTAATTCTCGAATTTTATTCTTTTAAATTCGAGATTAAAATCGTTTTAGAGGTCCTAACCATTAGAATAATCATCTCTTAAATCACTGGCACTATTATAACAAAGCTAACTTATTGAATAAGATTGCGCTTGATAAAAAAAAATGAAGTCGGCGGGTCGTCGGAAGTTAAAAGTTCTTTTATCATGCTAAAATGTGATAAAGCTTATTGCTCAATCCATAAAGATAATCACATGGGTGATGATCAATCTCCTCTTGGCATTTAATTATCGGGATTAAGAGAACTTTATAGGATGTTTTAATCAGTTGATAATTAGACGATAAATTCCGTTTCATCTGCATATAAAGAACGGAAAGAAACCTTTAAATGGCGTCGAACTATAAATAAAAGTTTAAATTAAAAATTTCTAACAATATTTTAATTGCAAAGTATCGCCTTTTCTTTATATTTTCTTCTAAATCGGGCGGCAACGAAATTATTTCTAAATTTTACTTATATAAATAAATATAAGTAATCTAGATTTGTATACGAAAAGCTAATAATTTTTTAAATATAATATTAATAATTTAAATACTGTTAAAATAATTAATAATAATTTAAAACTTAATAAATATTATTCTATATTTTTAAGTTTTAAAGGTTGAGAATGTTAAATAAATCTTAAGTCGTGTAGGGAGAAATGAATTTTCTAAATGCTGCCATCTAGGGACTGTTAATTAAACTATTCGATTTATTTTTATTTTGTTTATAATTTTAATCTAAGAACATTTTGTAAACAATTTTTTTTTGTTAAATCTCTGTTTTTTTAAAGAATTACGTAATAAATTATAAAAATACAAATGATTTTATTTGACTTACTATTAGAAATTTAATTATAAAATAAATTTTTTTTAAATACGATTAAATATCTTAAGATTCATTTATATAATACTGAAAATTATA